GATGTTTATACGGTTGATTGGCACCCACTCTGAAAACCACTGATTTAGTCAATATTTTACCAAAAATTGAAGTATTTTAATATAGTCTACATTCAAACAGAACATAATTTTATCTGACTCTACAATATTTTAGAGACTGTCAGCCGGCTGGTAAGGCTGGTGGTTAGCGTTATCAGCTGGCTCTATGTTCGTTAAAAGCACTGCCACGATGGGCTTTTAGCTGACCAGAGCACTTGGCACTTCCTCCAGCCCTGGGTCATCGCACACAAAGGTCCTCCTTTGGACATGGGCTTTGCATCACCCAGAAGCCGGAGAATATGTCTCCCAACTCCAATCCCCACCCTCACTTGAGCGTCAACAGTTACAATAGAGCAAAACCGTGAAAATTATGGGCTCTGGAGTCAGATAAAACTAAGTTCAGGTTGACGGCGTAGCACCGTGCAAAAGCCAGTTAGGCGGTTACCTGGTGAAGTGGACGCTGCAGGACGCTGCCGAGAAGCCACCTCAACGACCGACTTCCTGCCCCCGCATGGGCACTGGGGCCTGGCAGACAGCTTTTATCCTCTCCCTACCCCCCTTTAAGCCCCCCCCCCAAAATGCCTGTTGGCAAGCATCACCTGGCTCGACCACGCCCCTTCCTGAAACTGCCCCCTCCAATGGCTCATCGAAGTCAGTCTGAGACCCTGGCTAGCTCACCCAGCTCGGGGTTAACTCCACAGCCTGCCTCTCGCTTCAGACTGTCTGTGGGGAACTGTCCTTACATGTGCGTCGTAGTTCAACCTCGATTTCCAACAAAAGCTGTTGCTGTTTCCACCCACAGGTCAAAACAAACCATGATCCGAAAAGCTCTCCTTAATTAAGTTTAATTAAGCACATTAAACTCCCTGCTTCCCAGGGAATCAAACCTGTGACAGTCATTTAAAAACTCACCAGATAGATGAAAACTCGAAGAGGCAGAAATTTGTGAACTCACTCATTTGACAAGTATCAATATTGTGGACCAGATTCTGTTCTAGATGCTAAGTGTAACACCAATGTGCACAGATGCCTAATTTTATGAAAAGAGATCATGAAAAGTATTAAGAAGTTGAAATACAGTTTCAGCTACCTTGTTGATTTACTTGCTCAAAAAAAAAGTACATATATAAAATAGAATATTACTCAGCAATCAAAAAAAAATGTCTTTGCAGCAACTTGGATGGAGCTGAAAAAGATCATGCTTAGTGGTTTCACTCATAGCAGGAGTATAATGGACCTGAAAAAGATCATGCTTAGTGGTTTCACTCATAGCAGGAGTATAATGGACCAGGAGAGAAAATAATAAGAATAATGAACAGTCATATATCAGAGACATTTTGTGGGGGTGGAGTGGAGAATGGGATGGGGGGGGGGAAGTGAACATTACTCATGGTAATGGCACATGAGTGAGTGACTCCGTGATCGGAAGCCTATGGGCATTACAATTGAGATTTTAAAAAAAATGTACAAAATGATGTAAAAATAAACTGTTATATATATGACACCACTCCCCACTTGCCTCGTTGTTCTTGTCTTACTATAGTCCTGTTCCGCTACGTACCAGGAAATCCCTGTCCATCTAAGCGTGCTTCAGCCTGCTCCATCCCAGTCCCATATGGGCTTCCCTTCTGCCCACCATGCTGCCCTAGGGAGCTTAGAAATCACTTTGCTGTTCTAAGCAAACTATGTCACAGAAAATTGTGTGGCTATTTTGCATGCTATTGACCTGGACATTTCACACAACGATTTCTGCTTTTGTGACCATGCAGCATTGGTGAAGTCTCCCTAAAACTCCCCCCCTCAGACTCCCCCCATGGCTGTATGTCTGCTCATCTGTGTATTCTCTGGGGTCTAGTGCCTTTAAGCTTTAACTAGGTGATAGAGCACAGGTTTTATTGATTTTCAAACCTGAACACTTACGATGATTTGCTGCCACCATTCCAGGGCTCAGCATGTAAAACAGGACACAAGACTCCTCAGACTCATTGATGCCCATGGTCAGGAGAGACTTCCCTGCTGAGAGAATCCATTTTTAATGTAACGGTTCATGGACCAGTCCTCACAAAAGCCAGCTTTCTTGATATTTTATCTTTATCAAGTAGGAGACTTGATTTGGGGGACTCAAAAAACTCAAGAAGAAATTCTTGTTTTCTTTGGGGTTTGCTGAAGCATCCCTCTTCTGAGCTATCAACACCGAAGACCAGAGTATTTTCACAGGAAGACAAAGCACTGAGGCAGTGCAGTGGTCCAGAGACTTAATCTTCAGACTTGCCCACCAAAATATTATCCTCTGAGCCTCGTCATGGGATTCTGTCTCCTATGGCTGGCCTCTTGAAGCCAACCTGTGTCTCTCTGATAGCATGGAAGCCAAGGTGTTTTGAGACTCTCTCCTACCATTTGTTTTATGAAGTAAGTTTTGCCTTCACTTAGTATCATTGCTTCTAGCCAGTATCGTGGAATAATACCAGGTCTCAGCCGGAAGGTAACACTATGCATTTTTCTCTCTCTCCTTTCTCTTGTCTCACCACCTCTCACTTCCCTCCCCGCCTCAACCACCTGCACAACTGGCCCCGCCCCCACAAAGGGAACTGCAACAGCTGGTTTCCTACTTTTCCTTAAGTGTTTGAACAGGAGGCTTTCTTTTTTTCTCATTTCTAATTTTATTTTTTAATATATAGGTATTTTCTTTGACTCTGTGGATACACAAAGCTCTTTAAAATTAGACAAGAGCAGGTCGCCCTGGCGCAGTAAGTATACATAAGTAGGTATGACCAGGAAAGGACGGAGGTAGGGGTGGGCAGGTGTTGACTGAAGAGCTTTGCACCCTAGGTACTGATCAGTGGACACCCTTGTTAATAAGATCAGAGCCATGGGTGAGAGTTGGGGGTCTATCAGCAGACTCACCCTCCCTAAAAGCCTTAAATCCAGTTTTCAGCTTGATCCCCCCTTTTCTCTGTCAGTGAAAAGGCCAGAATCTTGCATCCTCCAGCTGGTACCACCAACCCCCATTTCTTTTCTCTATCAGTTCGGTGTCAACAATGCTCCATATCAAAACCTTCTGAAATAAAAAACATGTCTACATCATTTGTCCATTTTAACAGCTGAATAGTATTCCACAATGTTTCTATGCCTCATGTTCCTTATCCACTTGGTGGGCATTTAGGTTGTTTCCAGTTCATGGCTAATGCAAATAGTGCTGCAGACATGGGAATGCACTTTTCTTTTTCAAATTAGTGGTTTTTGAGTAAAAACCGGGAAGTGAGATAACTAGATCATACAGAATTTGTTTTTAATATCCAAAGATACATTTTGTTAAAAGAATGTAGACAAGAATGGAAGCATCATACCTCACATTAAAATACATTACATATACCCTATATTACAGAATCCTTTGGCAATCAGAAAAGAGACAAAAATTATTTTAATAAACCAATTTCATTGTCCAGAATTGAAATATTCTACATACATGTGCTTCTAGAATTACTAAATAAATAATAGTTCAAATCACACTCACATGAAACAAATAAGATTATCTCTTCTAACTCATTTAAAAAATTATGGAAAGATTCACAAACTTTGATGGATGCTTATAAATATATTGATTAAAAAATAACATCTATACATACACAAAATATATGAATACGTCATTAACTTAAAGATCATATAAATCACTTTGTTTAGCTAAATGATATTCTTGTTTTTATGTCTTGATGTTTATATTAGTCAATCTTTAAATTTACAGAGAATGCTTTTCTAAAACATTAGAAAATAAGCAAAAATTAATTATAAAACATTTCAATGGACCTAACTATTTCTCACAGTATTATTTTAAAACTTTAAATAAAAATTCTTTTAAAAAAACAGTATCTATTGTGGACACTGCAGGAAAAAATAAACTATTGATGAATACCTATAAAACCAAATTCTTAGCAAAATAAATAAAGTGAACTTTGAGAGTGCTAGTTGAAGTTGTTTTCCTAAACTTTTAAAACATGGAACAAATGACATTTTTAGTTATACCACAACACTGAAGAAAAATAGCAGTGTTTGTCTATTTAACCTTTTGGATTAATACACTAGATGTACAAAATTTCTAAGTTTGTGTCCCTTCAAATTTAATAGATTCCCTGATATTTACAATCAGAAATAAAAGCATCCAATGTAATCATCCAACTCCACAGATCTTTCTCATCTTTAAGAATAATATAAATACACTTTGATCACCAAATCCATACACACCAATGTTGAAAGTATTTCTAATATCAGGCTCATGGGAGTGAAATTGTTCCTCTAGGACTTAGTGAACTAGGATCTGGGGTAGCTGCATTCATGCTGGGTGTCTCAAGACATGCAACCCAAGGCAATAAACAGGACCTTAGCTAAGGCAAGCACAGATAAAGTGCACAACAACTCAGCTGGTGAGTCTGAACTAGAAATGTAGATACGAAGCAGAACTAAATGGCCAGGAACTCTAGGTAACAAGCAAAAGAGGCAGGAGACTAAACACCCAGCTACAAGACAGCCATGCTCATTGGGCACATGGTCATCCCTGGCAGGATGATTCTCACTGCTTCCTTAGACTAGAGTTTGTAGGAGGAAGAGAGCCCTTTTCAATAGTAGTTATGACTTTGGCAAAGGTTAAACCTCGTCTGGTAGCACCAAGGCATGGAAAATATTTAACAATGTCCAAATTTAAGAATATGAGTTTGACCATGAAGTATGTGTTGTGTGTGTGGTTAGCCTTTGGCATACACATCGTCATAGCTTCCTGAATTTTCACAATGACAGTTCACTAACATAAAAGAAAGATGGAGGAAATGCTGACGCTGAGATTCATAATCCATTGTAGCTTCAGTAGTGAGTGTCACAAGGGAAGTCAGGATTTTGTTTTAACAAGATATTATCTCCCAATACATTCCTTGTTTTGATAGACATAATAGACACAAAAAGGAAAAAAATCTAAACCTGATCCAAATATCTCAGAAAACATGCAGATCTGAGATGTGGTTATGATCATCTAGTGTCAGAGCTGCTTCAAAAATGAGTCTCCTTGTCCTTGCCACTTTGATCTGTCGGGATCACTTCAGTATGGTTGAAGGCAGGATTATCAGTTCCACCATCTTCTACTGGGTGAGATTTATAGCTTAAAACCTGGTTCTTCTAAAAAAAAAAAAAAGTTAACATTCATTAGATCACTAGTAATTGAAAAACTTATTAATGAAGAATAGTGTAAAAAATACGTATATATTTTTAAAAAAGAAACAGGTCATTAAGGAACAGAGAAAATACCTTCTTTGATCATCACTGTTCAAGAAAACACTAACTAGTACCCTATGCAGATAATAAAAGCAGAGTGTTACTAATTTAAGGAAAAAGAAAGCCAACTTACTTTCTTAAAGTCAAAATTGGATAAAAAGTCCTCTTTGGTTAGTAGAAATTTTTTGTCTAAGTTTTGTTTTCTTCCACCTGAAAAAATATGGAGATGTTACTTACATTGTTAAGACACCCACAAATGCCTGCTGACACTCCATCATATGGGCATTTACCTTGTGCACATTCAGCTCTGCCCACCCATTAAAAACATAAAGAGGATCTTTTAAATAGTGCTGGGGATCTAGAAAACCGTTTCCCTGTCCTTAGGCTCAGATTCGTCAGCTTCTACAAGCTTCTTGCTGTGGCAAAGTATGTCTAGCGTTTCAAGATAAATGATGACTTAATTCAAGACAACTGACCCATCTGTGCCTAAGTAGAGTGATCTGGCAAATACTGGTAGGAATACTGACTTTAAAGCATCCTCCACAAGCCATATCAAGCCATCTGCCTTCCAATAGTGGGGTCACCCTTTTCCCATTTATTAGCTATGGATGAAAAAGTGTGTGAAGAAATGCAAGAAATTATGAATTGAAGGATAAATTATCCAAAGGAAAATTAGTATGTTGGATTTGGATCCAAATCCTCTTCCCTTAACAACAAAAAAAATATTCTGTGATTTGGTATTTTATCTGTGGATTAATAAATATGCTTTTAAAATCATATATGTCAGACCATGTGATTCAAATCACCTAAAAGTATTTAAAATCCGGATTCCTGTACTCTAACCTGGACTAACCTGAGGGTGGAGCACTGAGTCCTGACTTTTATCAAGTCTCTGTAGTGACCTTATGTCCTCAAAAGTTTGCCAGCCATCACTTCAGTACAAATACTAAACCTTTAATTATGGAATTTCTGCTGTTCTGGAATTGGGATCAACTTTCGATTTATTCCTTCAACATTGTTCAGTGCCTACTATGTGCTAGAGGTTCTATTAAGTGCCGGAGAAACAGAATGAATTAGACAATCACCACACTCAAAGCTCCTGGTCTACTTGGGAAGTTACCTCCATTTTACTGATAACAAGACTCACGTGTGATTAGGTAAGGCAAAGTGCCAGCCAAGTCTGTTTGGCCTGAATTCTAAGAGATTGCTAGTACCTTATGGGAGCTTCTAAATTTATTTCCCAGAGAGCCTAAGGCTTGTGTATTTCTAGATTTTTTTTCCCAAGGTGCTCAATGCTGCTGAGAAGGAATATGTCACTTATGAAATTAATTAAGGTGATTTTTTTTAATCACTAATGCTATATCACTGATACAAAAGCACTTCTTAAAACAAGAGATAGAGATGGTTATCAGTGTCAGCGTTTTTGAGGGGTGAAAGGAGCACTCAAAATGTATATCCTGACACCCTATTCTCTTAAACAAACAAAAAATATGGATTGAATAAGCACCAAAAATCAATAATAGGGACTTTCCAGATCTGGACAAATAGGTTCCTTATGAAAAAATGTTTAAACTATTTCTAAAAATATACCAAAAGAGGCAAGAGAATAAGTCTACGGTTTTGATGACTTTATTTAAGAGGAAAAGCACTGTCCTTTTTGAATATAAAGGTAATAGTTTAAAGCAATTGTTTGACAAGTAAAAAAATAGCTACATATTTTATTATAAGTAACTATAGCAATAATAATTACAATATAATAATAGCTATCATTGCACCACCTCTGAGTGCTAATATAGTTGATTAATTTGAAATGAAAGCATCATCGGGGCCTGGAAGTCGGTGCACTCAGGTGCCAATAAATCATGAGTAGATGTGTAAATGACTGACAATGGCATTTTTTTTAAAAAGCAAGAAAAATACCATTTAAAACACTGATCAATAAAGTGAGTGAGGGTGGGGTCTACAGAGGAGTACAGCCCTGGCAGTTTCATAGCATAAAGGAAAGACATCTACATATTTGGACAGAATGTGGGGTTTCTGGCTGTAGATCACACATTTGATAAAGAGGACAGCGGCACTGCCTCTACGGAGTCTAGTTTCTATAGCTGTGTACCCTGAGGGCCGCAGTCCCACCAGCTCACCGGCTCCACTCACTACCCTGGTCTGAGCCTCCGTGGTTGCTCACCTGGATGATGGCAACAACCTTCTACCTGCCCTCCTTCCTTACCGACTAGTCTCAAAACTGGATCAGACTGCTCCTTTGAGAATTACTGGAAAAGTAATTGAAAAATATCGCATATAGTAGACCTACAAGAGAGACATGGAAAATAGGAGAGAAAAGACAGAAAAATTAGAGGGGCTGTCCAAGGCACAAACATTTGACTTATGGGATTTCTAGAAAGAGAAAATGGGAAATAGCAGGGAAAAACCAAAGGAGTAACATAGGGAAATGTCCCATAGCTGAAGGACAGGAGTCTTCCTACGAGTCTTCCTACTGATAGGGCCCTACTGAGGGTCTCGGGCAAGGCAGCCATTGTGAAATATGTCGCATGCAAAGGATCAGCTGATAGCATGATACTGCCCCACTCAACAGCAACAGAGGAAACTGGAAGAAAATCAGAACATCCTCTGAGAAACAAAGTCATTTTCAATCGAGGATTCTGTACTCAAACAAATGACTGGTCAAGTATAAGGGAGAATTAAAGACATGTGTTTCAGACATACAGTTTTCAAAATCTCTTCTCTTGTCCACCCTCCCTCAAGAATGGTCTGTAGGTTGTGGTTCATCCACTTCAGGGAGTAAACAGGAACCAGGAGAAATGGTACAAAGGGGTACAGAACAAGGGAATCTAAGGATGAAGACAGAGTGAGGTGTCCAGATAACAGTTGCTTGTAATCCCAGAGAGCAGTGCTCACTATGGGTAGCCTTGTTTTGAAATTGTAAAAAAAAATTTTAGAGTTTGTGAATATCTGAGAAAAGCCTTTACAATAGGTTTAGATGTCAAAATTATAACTACTGTTCCTTGTTACACATGTCCCCTTCTTTACAACTATATAGAAACAGTATAGGGGCCATCCATGATCGAGGGGGAGGGCCATTATAAAGATATGTGTTAAATTCCTAACAATGAGTAGCTGTATACACTTTTTTCAAGCATTTTGTTTTTAATTTTATAGCAATCTGTGAGATAGATAGGTCAACATTATCCCCGTCTTAGTTACAATTCAGGGTAGGTATATAGATTTGCCCAAGTTCATACAGCTAGTAATTAGCTGAACAAAGATTAGACCTTCAAGTTTTCCATGACTAAAAAGGAGCAAATAATTAAGTTGTTCAGAGGACTATAGTAACATAAATAGCTACAAAAATACAGATACTGAAAGCTGGCATAAAGGTAAATACAAATAAATATCTTGATATTAGTTACCTGTTGGTAAACTGACAAGCATTCCCACAAATATTGTTATCAAAGTCCCAAGAGTGCTGAAGTACAGATATGATAGAGAATACCAGTTATCCATCAGTGGGGTCCTGAGAGAGAGCAAGAAAGTAGTTGTAAGATTTCATGCAACACTACTAGCAGCCAAGAAGTTACCAAGAATCCTCACAGAAAGTCAAAATATAATATTTAATGATGTTTGTAAAATCATAATCTGTGACACCAATGTTATCTTATTGGATCAGAAATTTAAAGTCCGACTTCACCTTTACCATATACAATAATACTAAATGTCCTTGTTTATTCTTTCATCTTTGCTTTATGTCCTCATCACTGGAGGGTCCTCCATGAAAGAGATAAATAGGCCTCCTGCTCCTATGAAGTTTCCTTCTCAGCTCTGTGAGTCTCTTCCCTGCCTCCCAGCCACAATGAATGAGGGATCATTTCCTCCAGTGTGGCATCAGGCCTTCGGGCCTTCATACATGTTGTTCCTTCATTCTGCAATATATCTACCCAATTAGCTCATGTGATCATCCGCTAAGATGGCTTTCCTGACTCCGTCCAGAAGCAGACTCTTCTTCCTTTTCGCTCCCATAATAGCAGATAAATACCACTTGCTGTAACTTATTAATTGTTTATTTTCTAGTCCATCTTACCTTCTGGTCATTTTCTATGCCAAGAATGACTTTCTAGACCTCTTTATCTAGCCAACCTCTACAATATTCAAGTAGCAATACATCTTTGGAATCTTCACTTATCTATGCTCTAGCTCTGTTTGTTTTAACAAGTATTTATCAAGTTATTTATTGGCTACTTACTATGTACTACTTGTTATATATATTGTGCTTACTGGTATAATTGTTATAGAGATTTGCACATTCTCTCCAGCTAGACTATCACTTCCTGGAAGGTGGGAACCACAGTGAATGGAAGGAAAAGACTTTAGTAGATAACACATATATGGCCAGCCCACCACTGAGTATATGGTTCATGTTCAAAAATTCTTGCTTATTTGCTGAGTTATTTTATGAATGAACTAACATATAAAAGGGATTATTATGGTACCAGGCACATGGAAGACCTCAGCTAATTTATTTGTTAGGAATCAAATGACTATTATGCCTTAAACTCCTACATTAACAGACTTATTTGAGTCATAGGATACATGCTAAGCAAAACTGAAAAAAGAAGTACAGATACCCAAATGTCCTTCCACTGACCCTTCCATTAATCTTCTCCCACGTTGTGACTCCCTCATGACTGTTTACCACCCCTAACCATCACTGGTGCTTTCATGCTTGTCCAGACTGCTCCCTGCATTTCCTTGCCCCTCTCTCCACAGCATCCCATCTAGTCAACCCCCCCATCCCTCTTGCTCTGAAACTACATTCTCTCTCTACCCATGTAAAATTTAACAGCCTTGAACTCCCAGTGGCAAACATTCTCGTAGCTGAATTCTCTGTGGGTCACAAAATGCCAATAGTCTACATGTCTAGTCACTATCCTTGCCCAGGTGTGTGGCCATTTTAAGAGTGAGATGCCCTGTCTTGACTCAAAAGTAATAACTCTCACATAGTTCATTCTAGGGAATGAAACACTCACTGTTTCCTTAAATCAGGCCCCATCAGTGGCCAGAAGCTCAAAAGCATTCCAAAACCTCTAGCAGGAAGATGACAGCTATAACTCATTGCTAATATTCTAAAAGTTAGTCTTTAAAATGGAACAAATAATTATCATCTACTATATTTAGATAATTATAACTTTTAGTTGGCAAAGGCCATACTTCAAAGATTATGTAAGTCATATGTCTTTTATAATTGAGGATTTCGTTTTAAAAGTACTTTGGTTAACAATGACAATTGTTAGAGCTGGTATTTGATAGGATTTATTCATGAAGCTTTGAGCGACTATTCAAGTCTTACTGAGATGTGTAGAAAAGGCAGAAGTTTCTACTGAAATTAAGAAAATTTTTTTCTGAATGATTAGTCTGACAGTGAGATGCTCTGCCCAGTTTGGAATTAGGCAAAATCATAGTACTGTAGGTAAGACAATACCACACCTGGGATACTCCACTTCTCATATACACTTTTGAAAATGTGATATTACAAAGCCTAGTTCAATACCTTCCAGTGTCATGTATTCCAGTACTAGTAGGAAATGGCATCACTGTGGTCATTGAATCTGTTCCGTTAAATGTGTTGTTACAGCCATAGGTTTCAAGGCTTAGTGGCATTGTTCTCTCATCGAGTGGAGGATAAATTTGAGCTCCAATTCCAACCCACAAAGAAATAGCAAATCCAGTCATCAAACCAACAAGTGCTCCCTGTAAAACAAGACTTCTTATTAATGAAAAATAATGTAGCTTGCTTTGAGATGAAATCAATAATAGAAGGTTAACTTAACATGATCCAACCCAAATTCAACAACTTCCCTCCTAACACCATGGACCCTTGCAAGATCCCTGGCAGTTGTCAAATACAGCATAGGTCCCCAGTACTCCAGCCCCTGGGGATTCTGTTTCTTTGTTCCCTACATATGCCTTGCAGATCCAGATTTAATCAATCACCAATCTCTGCCTGTTTTTCTTCATGGATGCTGTATACTTGCATTCTTTCCATAATTTCTATAGCCAGCTCTCTATTCTGGCTTTCTGTCTCTTCAAACCCAAATAAGGACAACAGTCAACAGTTGACGGTAGCAAATTCAATTTGAGTAATTGACAAGAGAAGTTACAAGGACAGGTAGAGAAGTAGTCTTTACAATCAATAAAACCGTAGTGCTACTGCTGTAGTCGAGAAAGAAAGATTCCCATCATTCATTCTTTATACTTACAATTGAGTTGGCAAAAGGAACCAAAATTCCCAGAGAAAACAAGCCCATAAGTGGTCCACCAACCATGCCAAATATGCTGAGAGCTGCCTGTGAAAACAATAAAGACAGCAATTAGTAATCTCAAGTTCAAAGTCAAAATGTTTCATTCATTCTCCAAAATGAGGATTTTGTATCCAATCTTTTCCTGAAAATCATAGAAATCTTGTCAGTGGCAAAGAGGTAATTAGAATTTGGAATCTTCTGCTTCTCACTTTTAAGTGTCCATTTGTTCCTTCTGGTACCCTCAATAAAAGAGATAAAAGGAAAAGAAAGTGGGGGATCCTGGGAACACATGTGTGAATGCATACCTGGGGAACACAACATTCTTCCTGCCTCATTCTTCAAGATATCAACAATCTTGTGCTGAATAGTCTCAAAATCTTCCTCAAAACAAAGCGATGGATAAGTACCACTGACATAACCCTCAATGGTCACCTCTTACCTGCAACAAAGCTCCCATCAGTGATGCCAGGGCAGCCATGCCAATACACAGGGCTCCAAACAGCACACCTAGGCGGACAATGGAAAAGCCAGTGTAAAGCCCAGACGCAGGGGATTAGAATTCACAATAGAATAAACTACCACTCTTTGAGTCAATGTGAATTATATGACTGTGGTCAAGAACAGCCACAGACATCACAGCCAGCCAGACAATGAAAGGGTATTTTTCTGCAGGGTCAGCAGTGTGCAAAGAGGAAACAAAACCCTGATCTTGTGTTCTGAGATTAGTTACAACACAAGGTTATGTAAGTAAGAATCCCTGATATTAACTATAGGGATTTAAAACTAAGAACTATTGTGTTCTAATCTAATCTAATCCTCCATAAACATTTGTTCTTAAAGGAGGCTCAGGTCTCTGTTTTCAGTTTGTCAAAAATAGGACACAATTCAGTTCTGCTATCCCCATCATGCATGGGAAGGGAAGTAATGAACATGGGAAATTCTGGTCTTGTGACCTTACGAGCTCATTTCCTCTGGGAAGTGGCAGCGTACACTAAGAGGTGGGTTAGGACTTTTAGACCAATCCATTCTCCATCACCATCTCCAATTCTTCCTGTGAAAATGGCAAGGAAAATGCCACTTCAAGGCAGAATTTGATTTCCCATTCTAGTGAATTGTTTCTCCCAAACTTCTTTAAGGAATTCTCAATCCACAACAGTGATCAGTTTATGGGAATATTTTTCTCTTTTTCAATATCCTCCAGATTTTTTCCAAGTACATGTACCAATTTTCCAATTATATGAACATTAACCCAAATTTAAAGACTTTTTATTTTTATTGCCTATTGAGTAAAAATCACCTGAAATCAGTTAATCTCCCAAACTTCAAAATACAGAAAAAGTAAGTAGGAAATTTTCTTGTAAAAGTATTATGATATTCCTATCTTACTTTTATTAGCATAAAAAAATCTTTGCTAAATAGGTTGAGTAAATAACTTTATTGCACCTTAAAATAATTTCATCTTAATTTTTTGCAGAGTTTTGATGAGTTTTGATGTTTCTGAATCCTACTATAAATATTGTTTCCAGCCCTAATTTCCTTTTGTTAGCTTATGAATAATCACAACTGTCATTTTTGGTATTTGGAGTTATTAAGAACAAACTCCAATTATTGCCACATCTATGACATTCTTCTCACACACATACCTAAGACGATTTTATATAGCCTTTCAAAATGAATGAAAGCCTTGTCTGCACTAGCAGAGTTGATTTGCATTTGATCACCAGCAACATCACTCCTTGAGTGCTGGCTATTGCCTTTCATTTTATATGTATTATCTCTAAACTTCACAATCCCCCTTTAAGGCAGATATTCTTTGTTCTCATTTTCCCTATAAAGAAACAGGCTCAAATGGATTACTGAGTTTGCTTGCAGCTAACAGCTAGTAAATTGATGAAAAATGACTGTGTTTGCCTGACTTCAAAGCTTCTACACACTCTACTAAATCACACAGCTTCAATAATCCCATAATGAGCCAGTCTGAATACTCTCTTAGAGCATTGTCTCATTCTAAAATTATGCATCAGAATAATATACATGATGAAATGATGCAATACTATCTAAAATTAAGGGACACTGAAAGATATAATATAGTTTGTTTACATACATAATCCAGGCTACAGTCATAGTACATGTATATAGAATTATGATTCAAAATAGAGTATGACTTATTATTTCTTTGACAATTTACTAGTGTTATTGTGTTGAAGTTATTTTTAGAAAAAAAATTTATTAGTCATTCATTCTGAAACACATTTTCCCAAGATGTCAAAATGAAGAATGAAGTATGCTAGCCAGATAGTTTTATTAGATATTTTTTTTCTTACACTATGGCAGTCTCCATAGTTCTCTGGCCACCATATCAGATGTGAACCATCACCATATTCTTTTTTGTTCTTCTCTTCCCTGCTTTGCCAGATTTTTTTTTCACTCAGATATTACACTTGGGAAATTTGGGAACAGAGAGCCCTTGAGCCTTTCCATTCAATCTGATATTTAATTCCTAATAATGTTCTAAATTATATGAATAAAATGTTTGGATTCCTGGCACAATTTTATTGTACCTGTGGGTTCTACAATTTTATTGAACACCTCCAGGACAGCCTCAAGATAGGCCAAAAACCACAATTTAGTGTTTCTTTTTCAATCCATACACAGATGGTAGACCTTGAACTGAAAGCACCTTCTCAGGAAATACATTAACAGTGTGGTTTTACATCCCTAAGAATATCCTAACAAAGAATATTTCCTCAATGGACTCAAGTGGAGTGGTGTGGCTGTAGACTTAAATGGACTCAAGTTGAAAAGGAAAAGTGTTGACTTTTGTTCTTAGCTAAGCATTTTGGGGACAGGATGAAAATAGGAAAGAATGGGCCACCCTGGTGGTACAGAGGTTAAAGACACAGTGTTATCAAGCTATTGCCAGCTTGAGTTCAATCACTGGCCAGAGAGGTGACCCACATGGTTTGGCAGACCTCTCCTGTCCCACCTGCTGCTCCCCTGAGTTGTGTATCTCAGTACATCCACCTGTTCTGCTCCCCACTCTGTTGCTAGTGAATCCTCTCACCCACCACACCTCTGGCCTGTACCCCAGTTCTTGTATATGTAAATAAATAATAAATCTAAAAACAAAAAGAAGAAGAAGCTAAGAAGGAAGAACAACCAAATAAGATGCCTAGAAGTCATTCTTTGGGGCCCCCTACCACTGACTTGCTTGAGGGGGCCCCCAATCCATTGGCTGCATTGAGGCCACTGCCTCTGTCACAGGTGTGCACACGCATCAACCTGCACACGTAGGGGGGCTTGCTCCCTGCAAAATAATCTCTGCTATCTCTCAAAATCACCTTTTTTAACTTAAAAAATTAAAATAAAATTTGGAAAACAAAAACTTACTCAGCCCTTGGGAAATCCAAGAAAGAGACTTTTCTGAGAGTGATCTGAAGTGAGGCTTGACCAGATCTTCCACAGTCACTGCTGCTAAGGCGTTGATACTGGAGGACACTGTGCTGCAAGGGAAAATAAGTTTTTCTTTTGTCATATTTTTAACTTTAACACTTTAAGTGGGAATGAGAAAGGGTGAACAAATGGTCACTTTTGAAATGTAGCCAAATTCGACTGTATTATTTTTGATCATTTTTAATGATCAAAGCATTCTCTTTCTGGAAGCTGTTGTCATGCAAAAATGATTCAGGCAATGTCCATAGACTTAAGAGCACTAAAAATGAAATTTGCATCCATTTTACAATTAATTCTCAGAGCCTTGGGGAAAAAATATAGATATAATATAATAATATGAATTGATATTATTACATAAAGATTTCAAAACATATTTTTCTTTGTGCATTGGAAAGAGTAGTATAAACCCTCACTAAATATCATGCTCATAAATATCAATAATATTACTGTTCTGGATTCTCACTAATATCTGCTGTGCATGTTAGTAATAACAAACCCCTGGAGCAAATACAGGAAGAAAGTGCAGTGAGTAAGTTTAATTGCAAAATAAGTTTCTTTGGACTGTGTGTACTATTCAATATGTAAAGAAGAGATTTTAATTCAAATTTGCACTCAATCATCTGTAGGAACATGTTTATTTTAAACAAAGATGGAAGGCACTGATTTTTAATAATGGTAAAAACTACCATGAATTAATCATCATTATTGTGACTCTGCAGGGAAGGTGAATAGACCAAGTTGAAAGCGGAGACCAATGATGACAGCCTGCAGTTCGCAGAGACCAGTCATAGAGAGAGAATACAGGGCATCAGTGACCATCTATGACCAAGCCCAAAGCTCTACTTCAGCCTCCAGGCTAATCAATAACCAAAGAAAGATCCCACTGGGGAAATAATGTATTATAAGTCATAGTTCATACCTTAGAGTACCACTGTAAGCACAGGCCACAAAAAGGCCAGGAAGTCCTGGGAAATCTTGTAGAATGTCCAGTACCAAATAAGGCATGAGCTGAAAAATTCCAAAATTTACTCCTCGCTATTAGTTGTTTATTATTTATAAAATTAAATAAAGTGTCATTTATCATGCATTCTTTGAGAACTGAAGGGAGTTGTTCCACATAACTATAATTTCCAGTTATCTAAAATTAAACTCCTAACAAAGAAAGGAATACAACTGTGATTTAGGGTACAAGCTCTGGATTCAGACAGAGGTGGAGCTGATTACTTAATTTCCCTGTGTTTCTGTTTCCTCATCTGCATCAGAGGGAAGACGCTAACCTCAAGGAGTTGTTCTAAAAGCTAACTTACGGGCCTTCCTGCTGGCCTAGTGGTTAAGTCTCAGCACTATCACCTTCACACTCTGACTTCAAGCCGCAGCCAGGGAGCTGACCCACATGGCGCAGCAGACATCTCCTGTCTAGCCTACTGCTCCCCTCAACAGTATGTTTCAGTTCAACCTATCTGTTCTGCTCCCTACTCTGTCTCTGATGGATCCTCCCACTTCCCACTCCTCTGGCCTGTACCCCAGTTCTTCTATGTCTAAGTAAATCTTTAAAAAAAAAAACAAACAGTTAAATTAGGTAATCTATGGAAAGCTCTTAATACATATGTAGAATATAATAAATACTGGATAAAATATTGTTCTTTCCATTGTTTGGAAAAATAAATCAACTGAAAGTAAATAATTTACAATTAATTCTCTGTGTTGAAGTAAGTAGCCTTCATTTAACTTTACTCCATCCTCTAGGCACTTTCTGTGAACTTCAATCACTGCCAGGGATGAAAATGTATAATTGCAACTGAATATAGTATGAGACATGATGATAAGTGGAGAATAAGCTTGGGAAATTCTAAAAACTTGTTTCTTTGAAAAAAAAAAAGGTCCTATTACAACTTTATTTTTCTTAAGTTATTTTTATTGAGTTTTTGTTGTTTTATAAATTCAGGTAGCAATGGCTGACAGCATTGGGTATGACTGAGATGTAGATCACCCCCTTAGGTGCTGCTACCACGCCACACCCACCACCAGACAGTCAACCCTCCACCGTAATCCTCTGTGCTCCTTCCCCACTTTGTCTTCTCTCCCTCCCCCCAATTTCTTATCTAGAATTTTCCATTGTATTGGCTTTATCTGACCCTGTTTTGTTTCTTGATGTTCCAAATACAAATGACACCATCCAGTATTTGTCTTTCTCCTGGTGACTTATTTCACTTGGCATAAAACTCTCCAGTGCCATCTAACCTTTCCAGAAATAGCAAGTACATGAGTAGGAAGGGAAATATCCATTCACCTGCACTGAAACATTATTGATTCCTTCTCCCTTAGTACAGAGTGGATGACAGGCAAAACCCTATCTTATCCATCTCTGATTTCATTTAATAATAATTTACTTATAGGATAGGAAAGAATAACCTCCACTGGAGCAGAGATCTGTCTTGAATTGTTTCAGGAATGATTTCTTCTTTTTCCCTAATCTCACAAGTTCTTCATTTGCATGAAAGGGAATAGCACTTCCCTCCATTAAACTGAGACCCAGTTTTCCAAAGATCTCCTAAAAGTTTAATTGCAAACAGTATTTTATACATAAGCAAAAGTAAAGTTCCTAGCCTTGGTGTTTATAAGTTCTAAAATCCTTTACCCAATCATTAAGATTCTCAAGAGTCTTTGGTGTGATATTTCATATTCCAAATGGCCTGTCAGGATAGGTAGAATCAATAAGGTAATATTGATGAAAACAGAAAAACAGTAAGACTATTTCTAGACCCTAATGCTTCTTCCTCAGGGTGAGTTCCAACAAGCACAGCAGAAACACCTCATTGTTCCCCACAGGGTAAGGCTTTGAACTGATCTTATACAAACTGTTTTATTGGTATTATATCCCCAGTGAAATGTTAATTGAATTCACTCACCAACTACTACAACAAAAAATAGAATCATCGAACTAGAAAGAAACCTAGCTCTTTCTCAAAAATGATGGTATATATCTGTAAGATCTCCCTGTCAAATATATCCTATGACAAGGAATCCCAAGGGTAGGAAATTGTAGGTCTGTTTTGTTTTGGGCCTACAGTACAGGAGAGGTTCATTAGGGACACTTTTTAAGTCTCTGTAGTCTTCATGATACAAGCTACAGACAACGTATATATAAATCAAAAGCAATCTCAGCTAGAGAAAATATAAGGGAGTGTCTCCATCTACACGTTAAACACAATTCCTGGATTCTCTGAGTGAATAGAAGGATCTATTGATCAAGAGGAGAGTACAGGTTAAGATAAGGTTGAGATACACAGCTAAAGGATGTTCTCATCTTCTGCTTCCACAAACCTGTATTTTTCTGAGAGTTCATGATACACTTGCACCACCATAAAATTTAATCTATTTGCATTTAATCTATTTCCCTAGTGATTAACATGGGTGTTTGGTTAACAAACAAGTCATAGAAAAAAATTTTTAAGATGTATTTCTATTCGTTTATGCATACAAGAACTGGGGCATAGGCCAGAGGTACGGGGAGTGAAGAATTCAACAGAGTGAGGAGTGGGGAGCAGAACAGGTGGACTTACTGAAATACACTGCTGAGGGGTGCAGTGTGCAAGACAGGAGAGGTTTGCTATGCTATAGCTATATGTGGGTCAGCTTCCTGGCCTGGTATCGAACTCAGGCCATAGCAGTGACAATGCTGAGACTTAACCCCTAGGCCACCAGGGAGGCCCCTTTGAAAAGAACTTTGGCAAGAACTTTGGGAACAAAAACTCAAGCTTTGGAGTTAGGTAGGCCGAGTTTGAATTCTCGCTATACTTATTGAAAAATGGTATATTGAAGAGAATTTCAAACTGTAGACTCTGGTGGCAACCTGCTTAGATTTGAATCTAGCTTCAGGGATATTAACTGGTTACTTTATTACCTCATCTGTGCCTCTGTTTCCTCACCTTCAAAGAAAGATAATATATCAGAGTGTAGCTATGAGGTTAAAAGTTGAAATTTATACAAAGCATTTATGATAGCTGTTGTTCAGGGTATTTGATGAATGCTTAAAATATTATTATTTATTAGCTAAATAAATATGAAAATGATATAATCTTCCTAGTAGTCATTCATTTCTTCATCTATAATATTAGAATTTAGGACTGAGAGAATTGAAAGGGATAAAATATGCAAAGCTATTAGCACAGAATGTCATCACCCAGCTGGTACTCAATAGATGTTCACTTATAAGATCTGTTTCTCTACCATTTAAAAGCTGTAAGGCAAACTATCTATAAATGAGTGATCTACATATCAATAGATGCAGAGAAAGCATTTGACAAGATTCAACATCCATTTATGATTAACAGTCTTAATAAAACTGCAGTAGAAGTAAAATACCTCAATGTAATAAAGGTCAGATACGACAAGCCCACAGCTAATATCATAGTTAATAGTGAGTAGTGAGCTCTTTCTCAAAGATCAAGACAAGAATGTCCACTCTTACCACTATCATCAATATAGTACAGAATTCCTAGCTTGAACAGTCAGGTAAGAAAAAGAAATAAAATGGCATTAATGTGCATGGAAAAAAGCATGACACTGACCTGGTCAGGTGCAGACACTTTTTTGTCTGTCCAAGGATCACAGTCATGGTATCTGGAATACAGAGCAAGTCCGCAAAACACTGAACAGGTAAGGATTGCCCAGAGTCCCAGAAGGTTGATGTAGAGAGACCTAAAGAGTAAAAACCAAAGCAGCAATGACCATTTTAATTTCTGTTCTAAAGATTAGGAAACTTGGCAACCAGAAGATACCTTCATGACTATACTCAATAAAAACACATCATCTTATTATTATTATTATTATTATTATTATTATTATTATTATTATTACATTAGTCTATTTTTACATATTTCTGTGTGTTTTTTCATCTCAGTTGCAATCCCCTTGGGTTTCCCATCACCAAATAAAAACACATCATCTTTTAGTTACCAAAACTGTTGCTTAATTCATTTTGGCCTAACCTTCTACTTACGATATCAATCAGCAATATGTTTGTAAATATTTGGAATAGATGAGGTTTTCCCATTGAGGGAATGTGTCCTCCTCGCCATATTTCCAAGGGCATCTAAACATACTGCTTTAGGGCTTCTTATGAAATAAAGATCTTAATAGAGCAATAATGATTACTCATTTTCTTTCTGAAAGTAAAGCAATTATAAACTGCTAAACATTGTTCACTTCTACATAGCAAATCAGCATACTAATTTAAGAGTGGTTTGTAACACCATCTACTAAGAGTGAAAGGTGATTTGTCCTTTGGGGACATGCCTCATCCCACGCAATGACCATTTTATAGTACGCAACACATGCTCCAGTACAGTGTACAGGTTTACCTATCGGTACTGGAGTCAGATCTGAGCATAAATGCCGGTCCTAGCACATGTGGCCCTGGGCAAATGTTTTATCCTCTTTGATTCTCAGTTTCTTCATTACACCTGGAGATAACAATGTCTACCTCACAGAGCTATACGACTAAATGAAATGTAACGTATCACTTAGCACAGTTCTTGCCATGTAATAAATACTTGCTAAGTAATAGTTATTGATATTGGTATGTTAACATCATTAATTCACTGCCTTAACACTTAAAGAGTAAACATTTCTCTCATTAAGCAGCTGTATCTATTACCTCCCTTGTGATGTCTAATGCTTTTTTTTTTATTTTTTTTTAAAGTTTCTTTTTTTTTTTTTTTGATTTTTTTTTTTTTTTTATTTGTGCATACAGAACTGGGGTACACGCCAGAGGCTCAGGGGCGGTGAGAGGATTCACCAGAGACAGAGCGGGGAGCAGAACAGGCAGATCGACGAAGTACACTGCTGAGGGGAGCAGCGGGAGGGTCAGGAGAGGTCTGCCACGCCATGTGGTCACCTCCGGGGCAGGCGGGAATCGAACTCATGCGGAAGCGGCTTTAGATTCTCAGTGCTGTGCTTTAAGCCGCTGCGCCACCAGGGAGGGCCTGTCTAATGCTTTTTATGCTCATTTACAAGTATAAAGCAGAAGCTTAGGAAGACTAAATAACTACTCAGAATCTCTCAAGCAGCAAGCATCAGAACAGGATTACAAACCCAAGATTGTGTCTGCAAATAAAACACTCCAGTAGTCTTGCAATATAAGTTCTGGGGCATTTCCTCTTTAGTTATACTGATTCATATAACTCTTATACCACTCTAGTTTTATTTTACATTTCGCATATCTGTATATATTTTCCCAATTTGATGTGAAATTTCTTCATGACAAGAGTCACTATTTATAATTTCTATTCCTTGCAGTTCTTTATATAAACATATGCACAACAAATGACTATTTGATGAGATTAGTTTTACTTACTAAGTCATATAGCATTTTCAAATATCTGATTTTAAATAAAAAGTACTTGTTATTTCTACTTGATGCTTTTATAAGTAGGTAGATGAGCTTCCATAAAAACATCTGATGGCTATTAATGACTCATATAGATTAACTTACATTTTTGCCTGGAACCTGCTTTTACAGGAAATATATCTCTGCACTTGGGATTGGTTGACACCATAAATGCTGGTCCACGTGAAGGTCCCTCCTATAATAATTGTCCAGAATGTATGTCTTTGCAAAGGGTTAGGATCAAAACTAAATGAAAAGAAACAAAACAAATCTGAACTACAAGTTAAAAAAAAAACTACAAAAATATTATATATACATATTTATTCCAGGTGGAAACTTATACACTATATATACATTTTTAAAAAATATAAAATTCAAACTATGCCTAACTTAAATTCAATTAAATGAAAATAGACACTTTCAGAGATACAGAAGTTCTGAATAGGATTAAGGGAAAATGAATGTTGTAATCTTTGAACATTTATAAAAGTTGCTTTCCCATGACCTTAGGAAATAGCTAAACAAATATGCTATACTGTAATCAGAGAAGAACATGAAAATGAAGGGAGAGAGTGGGATAGGGATAGAAAGGAGGGAGGAATTGGAGCAGAGGAGTAAGAGAGGAATAATCCTAAGGAAAAAACACAAAGCAACAAATTTTATGTATAATAACGTCTTTCATAGTACATGTATAGTAATAGTTCTAATGTATATTCCAACTCATTAAGTCAGTTAAATCAATTAATTCATGTTCTAAAACTGTCATGGTCACTATAATTATGCTTTCTTAAAATGCAGTGTGTACAAACTAAATGCTAAGAGTTAAACGTCACTATATGATATGCACTTAAGTTCAAAATATTGTTAAAAAGAAAGCTCAGTTTCCATGTTTGATGTATCTTTTAGACCTTCCTAATACATACCCTTGGAACTAATGATCCTATTTACCTCTGATACACAGTATGAGCTTGAAAAAAAATTCTACAAATTTGGGTTTCATAGAAGGTTTTTTATATGTATATATGTGTGTGTGTATACATACATATATATATATGTATATATACATATATATATATGTATATACACACACACACTATTTTCTATAAATTGCTTTTCAGGAGGATACTCCATCCTAAATATCACCTGACTGGACCTGGAAGAAGTCTCTTATACATGTATTTTCCAGTTTCAGCTTTCTAAACTACATCCTCAGCAGGCTGTTTGCCTTCTAAAGTAAACTACTTCAATAAAGAGATTATTTTGGTGTATTTAAGGGATTTAAGTCTTAGCACCATCATGCCATGGGCCTGGGTTCAGCCCTTGGCCAGGAAGCTAACCCACATATGGCACAGCAGATATCTCCCATCTTGTCCACTGCTCCCCTCAGTAAATCTTCCTGTCCTGCTCCCCACTCTGTTTCTGCTGAATCCTCTTACCATAATACGCCCAGACCCCAAACCCTACCCAGCACCTCTGGCCTATACCCCAGGTCTTTAAAGAAAAAGAAGTATTCTAGTATTCAAGAAATAAACAGCAACATACTTCCAGAAGTTTAATCTTCCACCATTATAGGCATCATTCAGAATATTGCCAATTCCACCTTGAACCACAACAGCTTGTATAATTACAGATGCAAATCCAGCCACCATGATACCAACTTGAAAAACATCCGTCCAGATAACTGCTTTAAGCCCACCCTTTGAGAGAAAAATAGAGTAGATTAATGCTTCTACTAGACATTTTAAGCATCTACATGTTCAAATACTATGCTAAATGAAAACATAGAGCTTGGCCAACAATACAAGAGAGAGGTATAGGGAGGGAGGATATTAACAGGGAGCATTTGGGATAGATGGGTGATTTTTAAGCCAAATCTTCAAATATTCACAGAGGCAAAGACAGAAGCACCTCCAAGCAGAGAAAACAGTATAGGGAAAAGTTTAGTGTGGTCAAAGCACAGAGCATACTGAGTGGCCAAATACACACTTCTGAATGAAGTGGACTGGTAGAGGGAAATGTGGGGAAAGAAAATTCACATTGAAATTGCAAAATAGAGAATCATAGATTTAATTTTATAGGCAGGGTTGGTACTCAACCAATATGCATCCAGATGGCCAGAGCAGTTGTTGAAATACTAAGATTATTTTATATTAGCTACTGCTACAAACTTTCGGTATATTGCAGTAGAGCTCCCTACGACCTTGCCTAACGTAGTCCCTTCTGAAGGCTTTGCAACTAAAAGATCCAGCAACCAAAGAGTTAATACCTAAACTACTAGGGATGCCATAATACTTGCACCACTAAAAGGACCAGAATCTGGTAATATTGTTGTCCAAGCCAAAATGGTGCTGATTCTCACAGTTACTCCTGCCTACAGACTATGGGACATTTTCTCAGGTTTCCAAACTGAGTAATAATATTGAATATTAGCACAGCTGTATAACCTGACATCAGTAAAGATGAATTAAGAGACAAGATAAGGGACCACTGCAATGGCTTAGATGAAGGAAAAATGCATCATTGTGATCAATGTCCTATGTAGGATCAAATTTTCCTCCAAATTGAATATTCCTTACAGAGAGCTACACTGCATAAGGGAGGAGTGGAAGAGTGATAAAAACAACCCAGTTTGCAGGGCACAATAAATAGAATTTTCAATTTTGCAAAGCAAGTTGTAGACCAGGAAGAGAAATAATGTTTTTGACATACCAAAGTGCAGTAGAATGTGCAGACCACCCCTGTGGCTACTACTGCGCCCCACAGATCAAATCCTGTGACTGGAAGAAAACACAGCACCATTCATTGTGGAACATGCATTAAAAAGGTACACTTCAAAAAAATCATCAGAAGAATGAGCATTTACCTCTATACTGACTTGCCTAAATGAGGTATAAATCTAACAGAATGTTCCAAAACAAAAGGGGATCAAAATTACTTGTTGAACTTGGTTTCTACCGTTAGACACCATACAAAGATCCAACATGGCTAAACTAAGTATCTGAGAAGGCATTTTTGATGTTATGATGTGGCTGTCCAGACTGAAAGGGGCTAACGAGCACTTGCCATTAAGGTCAGAATAAACAGACTCATCTATCAACCCTTGAAAGACAAGGTGCATGTTACTTTGCCAGGATCAAGATGGAAAAAGTCTATGTAATTTATTGCCATTTATCTAAGATATGAAGAAGCAGATTATAACTTTTTTAAATATAATGATAACCACTCCATGTCCCCAAACTTAGCAACCTTAGATGAAATGAAAAGATATTATCTGTCTAAGCTCGTAAAGCAAGATGTGGATGGTCTGAAATGGTTTGTGCCTAAAAATTAACTCAAACTGGACTAAAGACACAATAAAAGACCCAAAACTAAGAAATACATTGAAGGAAAGAAGGCAAAACACTCCACAACATTGTCTTTGGGGATTTGTTCCCAATAGCAAAAGAAGCAAAAGCAAATATTGATTCAAAAGGATACCTGCACCCCATTTTATTTTATTACAGGGAAGATGTGGAATCAACCCAAATGCTCAAAAATTGATGACTGGATTAAGAAAATGTGATACATATACACAATGGAATATTACTTAGTAATAAAAAAAAAAGATAAACTCATGCCTTTTGCAACAACATGGATGGACCTGGGAGGGATCATGCTTAGTGAAATAAGCCAGAAAGAAAAAGAAAAATACCAGATAGTTTCACTCATAGCAGAAGTATAAGGGATCAGGAAAAAAAAATAGCAATTGTAATAATGTAAAAATGTAAACAATCAACAACTATAAACCAGAGACATTTAACAGGGATAGAGAGGGCAATGGGATCAAAACTGGAGTAGGAAGAGTACCCAGGACTATGGTGATGGCACAGGAGTGAATTGGTGGTGGGAAGTCACTGGGGATTACAACTGAGATGAAAAAATGCACAAAATGAAGAAAGATGAAAAAAAAAAAAAAGAAACGCACACACACAAATATATACATAATGACTTAAAAAAAAAAAGAAGTCAGAAGAAATACAAATACCAGATGTTTCTACTTGTATGTGGAGTATAGAGGAACAAAACAAAAGGTCAGACAAAACCAAACCAATAATAAACCCTTGAAATTTGACTGCCAGGCAGCCAGAAAAGAAAGGAGGGCACCCAGTGGGAGAGTGTAGGAATAGTAGGTCATTGGTGGTGGACATGGTGTGAAAACATATTTGCAAAGATGTGTACCTATAGCCCCTAAAATAAATATAATGATGTAAACCAACTTTACCTCAAGATCCATAGCAATTAACTAATTAAATTAATTAACTTTTAGAAACAAAAAAAGTGCAAGGAAAATGTCTAGGATCGGCTGATGGAAATATTCCACATCTTGCCTTGAATCGTGATGCACAAGTATATATGATTTCTAAGCTCACCCGCTGTACACTTAATTTGCCTGTGTTTTAATATATAGAAGCAATAAAACAGTCAATCAAAATTCAAATGGTCAAAATGCAGTGCCATGAGTCTCAATGTATTCCCAGGGAGTAGTTCAGTAAACTGAAAAGAAAGAAAAGCCTCAATTTTTTCAAGATCTTCTTTATCCTACAACTGCACTTTAAAACCATAAAGCCAACACCTTCAATTATAGTAAATTCAATAGGTAACTTATTGAACTTACAGCTCAGTTCTTTACAGATGAAACAATCCATTCAAGTTGTTGGTGTTACTGACATGAAACATGGCTGACACTCAGAAGTCAAGCATATACTGTATTAAGAAATTCTTTGTAATAATACTGCTGTACTTTGTAAACTTTGGTAATCAACAGTATTTATCACAAAGTCAAGAAATTAGAGTCTGGAGTCAGCAGGGGGTTTCCACTTTACAAAGACTCCAGGAACTGCACCATGTTCTTCCCATCACAGGGTCCACTTTTCCATTTTACAAGAGACTGCTGCAGATAAACTCACTTGTTGATAAGAATTCAAAGGATGTGGGGTTTCCCCAAAGCCCTTTAAGGATATGACTAACATGTACCTTTACCCCAATAAACTCTACCAGTTTTGCTGCTTCTACAACTTGTTGATCAACATGTCTGATCCAGACACTCAAAGAAGTTTTTAATATAGACAATGAACTCAACATGCTCCCCCATCAAGTTAATGCAGGTTACCGGAGGCATTCCCCCATCTCCCCATCTCCCCAAAAAGAGAATAAGGTCTATTAAAAATAAGCAACAAATGAGCACACATGATTTGTTGCTATAAATGTACCTTGATTCAAAGCCAGGGCAGGGGCATAAATAACAATTCCAGTATATAGAATCTAGAGTGAACAAGAAAAGCAAATAAATATTATGAACTGATACATCATTAGTTGTGAAAAATGAAAATTTGAAGTTTTAAAAGCTTGCATGCTATTAATTAAACAAGTGTAAATTTGCACTAAAAATTGTGAATGCCAACAAAAATTACATTGCATCTTTTATATTATTTATTATTTTGCATTCATACATTTCACAAATATGTACTAACCTGAGATACAATAGTTAATAAGATAAAAATGGCCTTTCCCCCCAAATACCATTTTCAATGCATTTAATTTTTCAAATATATCATATAGAAGTTCATTAGATGACTACTCTCTAAAAACATTATGGGAAAAAATGTAAAGCATTTGCATGTTTGATTATATCGCATGGTAGTATTATACCAGTAATAAGGGATGCTAAAGTTCCCCTCTTTTTGGCAAGAATGAACTGACTTTCCAGTCATTATTCTGTTCAAGATGACAAATTTGAAGATATAACCACAGGACACCTTCCTCACACTTATCCAATTTTCATTTCTTATCATATTTCTAACAATGATCCAAGAGGGTCTAGACAGTTGGCAAAAGAATCCAAGCTACCAGCTTCAACTCTGCATCAGAATCTCTACCAGACTAGTAAATGCATAGGTAGCCTTTGGTTGGAGAAATGGAATAACAAATAGGGAGGAAAGAAAAAAACTTCTTCCTAGACCGCCATTATAAAACCAATCTCTAAGCACTTAGCTGCCAAGAAGATAAATATAAATGACAAGACAAAAAAAAAAAATGTTCTCGACAACTGTCCAGCAGCCTAGGTGGAGAGAGCAAGTCTCTATCACTGGTTGCTTGACAAATCTCTCCTTTCTATTGGTGTGAATCAATAGATCTGTATTTGCATATTCTTGAATTACTGGATTGTGTTCTTGGCTCTAAAAACTCCTCCAGAGCACATGGTTCTGTTGTTCCACACCCAGGGGAGGCTTCAATTGAGTCTTACATTTCACTTTTAATAAAGAATGCGGACTCATTTAAAAGCTTCCAAACAGAGAAAATTATTTCTTAAGATCTTCTTACATCAGCTAGCTTTTTCATACCTATTAGTCAACATGTTGCAAAAATACTATGAAAAAAATTGTTTTTCCTTTGTTCTAATTCTTATCACCAGTTACTACAACTCTTTCAAATATCTTTGTCTCCTCAATAATGCCTCACTGTCACTGTCATGGGAACATTGGGGAGGTGGGGTAAGGGCAAAATATATTTTCCTAAAGAATATAATTGCAGCCAGATCAATATAGGACTTACTGTTTACTTTAATCAGTATTTTTCCTTAAGAAGTAACACAGTTGTTTGAAACACTGCTTTATGATCGTCAGGATTAATGCTGTCTAGAGACAAGTATTTTTCTTTTGTTCGTTCTTCCTATTTTCAACACCTCATTTTTATATCTCATGTGTTTACCAGATAAGTTTGGCTCAAATGTCTTGATAGCTGAAAACATTTTAGATGACCAAAGGTAAAATAAATGAGTAGAGAGTTACTTACTGTTTGAACAATGAAGAGTATGGTTCCACACAGACGAACATATTTGTTAAATCGAAGTTCCAAATACTGTTTCCAGAAAAAGGAAGGATTGTTAATATGTGAAACTTCTGGACACTTTAAAAATCAGCAGCTTAAGTAAAGGGTTGAGGAGACAAGGGGGTGCTGGAGAGAAGAACGGGATCAAAACTGGAGTGGGAAGAGTGCACGGGACTATGGTGAAGGCACACAGGTGAATTGGTGGTGGGAAGTCCACAGGGATTACAACCGAGATGAAAAAATGCTTTGAGAACCTTTACCCCATAATCAGAAATACAGGAAAACTTGATTTTAGTAACAGACCCCAGCCTGGCAGTGTACATGCAAAGAACCCCAACCTTGATGAAGCCAATATCCAGCACTACCTTGTTTTTAAAGAGGTACAGTTGTCAAACATGGAGATCTTTCAGCCATCTCCTCATGGAGGCTGAAGTGAGTGTGAGAGACAAAGTAATAATCTTTGGACAGCATGTCTTCAACATCAGGTTTCTCCATGCTTTTTGCCATAGGAGACCATCTCTCCAGTTTCTCTGTCCCTGTCACTAGCTCCAGTTTTGAAGTTCTTTGCCTTTTTTAGGTAAGTATGTCTAATTGCTGAAGGACTAAAAAAACTAAAGAGAAATGTGTGATGTTGATAAAAATGCAGCAAACTGAACCAAGTGCTATGTATGCACACATCTATACTATATGTAAAATGTGTAAGTTAGATATTTCCCCCCAAGATTGGCTGGATCCAGACAAACTATGGGTGTAAGCTCATAGAAGACTACATCAGGATTGAGCCAAGAAATCCATCATGGTTGCAGCTATCAGAATTACTGGGCTGCTAGACCTGGAGAACACCAGAAGCCCGAGTCTCTGAACATTAGGCCCAGAGAATAGCTGTTGGATTTCTAGACACGGTACAAAGTAAGAGTAGCTGCCTATAGTTAATCAAAACCTCTCCAATTCCTCAAATTTTAGGGATGCTAAGAATTCCATTGAATAGAGAAAAAATACAGTTTGGGCAACTAAGTTCAAAGACACAGATTTCATAAGGTCCAGAAAGACCCTTGAGAAGTAGTGACTGAAACTGGATTCCTGAATTACACATCCTGTCAGTGGATCTGCAAGTTGTTAAACACCTACTGGAACTACACTTTAAAGGCAGTGATAAAGAGATATCAAAAATAGTTCTGTGCAGTCAGGTTTAGCTGACAAAGTATAAACAGGGCGGAGTTCATTCTTGAGCACGAATCCAGGATATCACTAGGTGCTGGACTTCTTAATCTGTAGACGGAGCTCCACTAGTCAGCATAAAATAAACTATTCTTCAAGATCTTGCTCATCTTGACCAATGATCAGGGAAATAGCATGTTGTCTAATTTCCCTGGCTCCATTGCCAGGTGCCCACCAGTAGTGGACACTCACTAACGTGCCCACAACCCACTCGTCCTCAGCCTTCTTTGCTCTCTGCACTGGCTCTGTAAGGAGGCCGCTGGGGTGATAACAGACTCACTGAGGTCTTCAGAAGCAGCCAGCGTGCCCCACCGCACAGTAGGCAAGTGTCCGCTCTGCTTCAAGCTCTTTTCTGCAACTTCACTGACTCTGAGTCTTTGTCAGCAAAATGGGGCCCTCACACTAACTTTCTTAGGATTGTTTGGAGTATTAGTTCAGATCATGGATGTAAAATATCCAGCCAGCAACCAGCACGTTTTAAACTGTTAATGTTAACTGTCCAGTTAATGTTAACTGTTTGCCATGTTTAGCTGAAGCACTGAATTAGCCACCACCTCTGGAAACATGTGAGAAATCTGTTTCTAGCTGAGTTAAAGTGGCTGCCCCTGAAGAGCATGGGTCAGCAATCATGAGAACAGCATTCACCCATGGGGACTGAAGTCCTCCTGCCAGATTCTTTCAACTGTTCCTAAGTTTTGGAGTTGGTGAACAACACATCAGAGCGCACAGACTACTGGTCCTGTCAGACAACGCAAACATGAGTTTGTGTATATATGTATGTGTCAGTATATGTACTAATATGTTAGAATACTCAAGTCCACCAAGAAATATGTTCTTTGACCTCTCCCTCCATACAAGAACATCCTTTACCCCATCCATTTTCCCTTTCACATTTTTACCAAAGACATGTGTGCAGACATAGCTTTCTCTATGATAAGAAAGTAACCATGACACCTCAAAAGACAAACTCAGGGAGAGAGAGCAGTGGGTATAAATGGGAGTTCCTACGGCCACAGGGAATGTGGGCCCAGTGTCACGCTCTCTTACATTTTCAAAAGAAGCAAGAATTTAGAATTTTGGCTCATCATCATCATTAAATGCTAAATTAATTTTTTCTAAAACACTTTAAGGAAGGAAAAGACGATTGAAGACTGAGGTTAGCTTGGGACATATAGCTTGCCACTTTCAGCAACACAGAGAATGCCATCCCACTCACTTCTGGGGCAGTGACTGAACTTTCCTAAACACAATGGCCAGATAGGAAGGCAATGCTATCTCAGGGGCGGCCTCACCCTGGATGATGTCACTGCACCCAGGCACTTTGTCACCAATACGATGTAGGTCTGTTCCCATCCACAGAACCAACTGAACCAGCCTCACTTGGAAAAGCAACTTCAGTGACTCTGGTCTGGAACAAATATACCTAAACTCAAGGACACAGGCTTTGGCTAAGGATTAAGACTCAATCTTTTGGATAATGGTCTATTAGAGAAGAAACTTCAGCAGGTTGGTTCATGGAGCTCGTAAATTAGTGCCTGGTTAAAGGAGACCACTGGGGTCACTGAACAGGACCCCACTCCTCCAAGCTTTTACTCTTCCCTTGGATCTTCCATTCAATATTCTTGAAACTAAATCAAACATTTATGATCTTTGCAAAGCTCTTTCCTATGGACAACTTGGAAAGACCTATAACCAGTGAAACTGCAGCAGAAGAAAGTGGTTTTCTTAATCATCTTTCCATGGAGAGAGAAGGTAGAGATAAGATCCTTGCAGTGGAATTTTTCTAGTGATCCCAAGATACCCACCTCTACTACCACCATAACCACAGCTACAGCCAACATTTACCTAGCATGCTCTTTTTACTTAGCAATGTGCAGACACTCTTCTTAATGTCACATTTGCTTCCTATCCATCCTCCCCGTAACTGATAAGACAGGTGGAATTACTCTTTCCATTTTGAGGTGAAGACGCAGGCACAAAGGGTTAAACAAATCCCCCAAGGTTACCCAGCCAGTAAGTGGTTGGATCTGATCTCAAAGGTGGGGACTGAGACAAGAAATACTGCACCTTAGCCTTCTGGGGGTTCCTGCCCCGCTGTGCAAAGTGTATATTTGGGTGCAGGAAGGAGGGCAAAGAGCAAATCCTTCAACTATCATGGAAACTGGAGTGAAACCTGAGGACTTCACAGAGGAGGAGCTAGGACTCACACCATTCTCCTCCTCCCAGCACCCCCCCCCCAAAAAAAAGTTTTAAAACGTTTTTTTTCTTGACTAAGAATCAAGATGTAAAGGCCAAAGAACCTTAGCCCACACTGCTATGATACTCTTTGATTAGGTCAGAAACACTATGATTAGGTCGGAAGCACCTTTTTGACACTCCTAAGAATAAGTTGCAAGTCCTCTCCCTCACTACCCAGTCTTGATTGGACACCTCTCCCCAAAAGGGGAAGGGGATGGCGGGGAAGGTGGCAGTCTGGACAGAGAGAGATTTTGATACAGTAGTGGGTCTCCGACCCATAAATTCCCGCCATGAGCCTGCGGAGTCGTCCTCTGCACACTGTTACCCTTTACCTCATAGGTGCTGGTGATCCCCAGTTTGTAGAACACCGGGAGGAAGATCTCCGCGCTGATGAGGACCACAAAGAAATAGGTGATGGCAAAGATGCTGAATATGGCCCCAAAGCGGTAGACCTCGGATGGGGTGCCCAGGACGGTGACGGCCGACATGAAGCTGGCGGTGAGGGACAGAGCCACAGGCACGGCGGTCATCCTGCGGCCGCCCATCAGGAACTCCTTGGAGGTCTGCTCGCCGCGGCGCCCCACGAAGGCATAGTAGATGCCGATGGCGGCCGAGATGAGCAGCATCCCGGCGAACACCACATAGTCCCACACCACGAAGGTGCCGATGTCCCGCGGCGCGCTCATGGCAGCGCGGTGGCTCGCGGTCGGCGCCCTGCGCGCAAACTGGCTGCCCGGCCGCTCGCAGCCGGAGTTGTAGCTTTACCTGGGCGGCAGGGCGCTCACTTATCCCCCGCGCTGCAAGCGTGGCGGGCGTGGCGCCCCGCGGGGATTGGAGGCGTCTTCCAAGTGTCAGTACCCGGCAGCCGAGTGCCCTGCGAGAGTGGGGGTGAAGGAAGGCGGCAGAGCTTCTTCGCACACCGCAGCCAACGAGCCCCTGAAATGCAACTTTGGGGAGCCCTCTTCGCACCAGCCAAGCTAAGCTGTCCCAGGTGGCAGACCCAAGCCGTCCGGATCGCCTAGATGCCGCGGATACCTGGACAGGTGAGACCTGGCGCCTCTAGCCGCGTCCTGAGAATCCGCAGCGAGCACTCAGCGGACATTTATCTTGTGGCACTCTAGGGAAAGCACCCTTTAAAAATGCAGGCGACCTTTGGGGAAGTTGGTCGAAGATCAGCTGGTCATCTCATGTCTTCCAATTCAAAGTCCAAGTTCATAGGAAAAGATACGCCTGGAATATTTTTTATTGCCTTGCTTGATAAATTTATAGTGTGCAGCCATTGAAGGTTCCAGCCTTCCCGCGGTAAGCGATAAAGGGAAAGTCTGTGCTAGTAATTGTCTGTGTTTTCAGTTTTGAATCCCCAGCCGCTTCTCCTAGGGATGACAGCCACCAAGAGAGATACCACTATAGTAGGTATTCAGAATACCTACTACCAGGTGACACGACACCGGGCATTTTAACTGTTACCTATGTAATAGGAATCACCTCTGTTCCTTAAATGAAGAAACTTGGTTAGAAAAGTTAACAGCTATCACCCTGGGAAGTGCTGGAGATGAAGAGTTGTAATCCAGGTCTAGTATGGGAACTTGTTCTTGTCACCAGCATGCTATACTTTGTACAGTCCAACTATAGTGTTAAATGTAGGAATATATACGTATATTTAAATGAAGGCACTTGGAAGCCCATAGGAAACACTACCACTTCCAGTATCTGTACACAAACATTTCTTCATTGGCTTGCCTTGAAATCTTATTAACACATGAATCATGCTTATAAAGCAATGTGATTCTCAGGTTTTTCTTCTAGTATAGACCTTCCAGCCAAATGATCTGTGGTCTGTTTCAGGTTGTCCTGATTCATTCATTTACCTTTATGATTTACCAGTTGACCTCTTGATAAACAATCCACATTTAGTCCAGCCTAGTATGTGAAGAAAGTTTTATCAGATTTTACTTTTCGTAAACTGCCATTATTTGTATAACATTTTCAAAAGGAAATAGAAGTTAAAGTGAAATAGTTCAATTATGTAAGCAAACATGATATTGAATTATGTCTGAACTGTTTGAAATTTTATCTATCTATCTATCTGCACTTAGGCAGCTTTAAGGAATCAAGATCAAGGATGCAGATCTAGTATCTAATTCACTTTCTGGGTAATGTAAAGTCAATAGCTCTAAACAAAGCTCATCTTCTTTGCTATATCTAGTTAAAGCCAGAGCCCCAGGCAGCTAATGACCATACATCTCTATTAGTCACTTTACAGGCAGAACAGTGTAAGGTTAACTGTAGGCTCCAAAACCCGAATTCCTGACTCTGCTAGCTACTAGCCACTTTATGTAGGCCAGTACTTACTCTTATATCTTAGTGTGCTAAATAAAAAATAGGGATAATTCTTTTTTCATAGAGTTACACAGGGTTAAATGACATCATAGCACAAAAAACCCCAAGAGGTAAAGGGCTGGTGCTATATAGTCATTTAATTCCTTTCTAATAACTGAGAAGGGGGTTGGAGTGGTGATGTTATTTTCCCTTGTATATAAGTTATATATAATATTTATATAATGCCATCAACTATGTGTGCGCTACACCTGGTTGTTCTTTCAGATCTCTTTGGTGTCCAACATATGTATTCCAATATTTTCCAGAAGCCACAAATTCTCTATTTTCTGAGCCTTCGAATATATGAGGCTATTTATCAATTGCCTTCACACATGAAAAAATTCAAATGAAAAAATACTGTTTTATATTCTTTTTTCATTTTTGATAATCTTTTTTATGCACAATTTTGTAGGTATTTTTTCCATTGTCATATGGCATTACAGATCTATATGATATCAGCCAAATTTCTGTTTCGTTGTAAGTAACCTCTTTGGCAGAATGCTAGAGATAATTCTGTTCTTCATGTTTTTCTTCCCAAGTTTTTGCTAAGATATTTCTAGATCAGCACTCTTTTATTACTATCATTTGGATTCTTTTTATTTGCATCTTTAATTATAACCTGTGTTCCAATTGTTCTAGTATCTTCTTCAGAAACAACTGAATTCTCTATATTATTTGCTTCAGTCTTGTTTTCCTTTTCCTTGAGCTGTCTAAGAAACCAAGTTTATTTTTCTTATCATTGATTCCATATCTGCTATGATAATATACTTTATTGCTCTCCCTACAGATTTACTTCTACTAGTATTTTAATCTCTCGACTTGTAATATTTTAAATATCTCCCAACCTTTTAAAATGTACTCTTCCCGTTTCATTCCATCTGAAGTCTTTTCATCTGTTCTGCTCTCATCTCATACGATATTGTCATTTTGTGTTTTCCCAAGTATGAAAAACAAGTTTCTTAAATTTTCTTCTTTTTATTCCAGGAGTAAATAGTGTATAGAGAGATTCTCATTCCTGAGACTTCAAAATGTTTTTCCAATTCTTGTTCCTCTTTTTTTTCCCCATAGGACATTATGTTTTTATACTCATGTTCAAATGAAAAAGTAGTCCCCTCCCCCCCCGCCAAAAGTAATTCCCAGATGTAGTGTTTGTTAAAGATTGCTTTACATTATTGTCCTCTTCTTTTAGATTCTACCACTTCACAACTAGATGAATGGTGAAGCCCACTAGTATGACAATCAGTTCTGCACTTACTATGATGCATGGCAGTACTTTCTTAAGTACGTATTGAAAATATGAACAGAAAAGGGAAGAAATTATTAGAAAATCCTCTCAAATAAATTGACTTGGTCCTTCTTTCTGATGCTGCAAATTTCCTTTCCATGCCACTGTGTTTCCACTGACATTTTGGAGGAAAAATGAAAGAACTCAATAAGAACATATTTTATTTTAAAGCTATTAGACTTAAAATGATTTTCTTTAATTTGTCACTGTTTCCCTTACTTATCAGTTAATATTGAATTTGGCTGACAGTAGCATAACCAAAATAACAATAGTTTAAGCAAGATAACAGTCTACTTCTCGTTAATATTTAAAGCCATCCAGTGATAAGTAGCCTGCGATTGGGCAGGGAAAGGGGCGAGGCCATGTGAAGTTGTTGGGATCCAAATTCCTGTCTTACATCACTTCCATCCTCAGATTTGGTTTCTATCTCAGCAGAAAGATGGAAAAGGCAGAAAGGGTCTGGCTTATTTCCCATCAATTTCACATAACAGTTTCACCTTTTTCCCACTGTACTTAATCACATGGACACCTCCAGCTGGAAAGGAGAATGGGAAATGGAGACTGGGTAATGTCTTTGTGCCATGGGCCACGTGCTCAACGAAGCACTGAGTTCCTCAGAAAATCCAGAACGAATAAGGTGGTTCTGCCACCTCCTCCTTAACCACAGTCTTCACCAGACAGACTTCGCAGAGGCCAATCTCCCAGGAATTTTATTCATTGTGAGCAGACAAAAACTACACTATCTTTGATTTAAACCCCAAATCAACTGTGACTATGACCAGTTCCTACCTTATCCTCTTGACTTCATTTGGCCATCTCCAGTTATTCCTTTGTTTTGACAACCATTGACTCCACAAGGAACCACTTGGAAGAGCATTGGCCCAGGGGCCGCAGACAACCAGACTGCAGCACAAGTGAAGTGGCAGTGAGAGGCTGGCTCAGAGTGGGGGTGCAGAGCCCACAGGATCACAGGGTTACTCCTCACTTGGTGGCTCACATTGCATAAGGAAAGTGTTCTTTAAGTGCATTTTGTAAGGTGCTCTGCTTTCTTGCAATTCAATTTCATTGGTTTTAGGGACACATTTAGCCTATAAGATGAAGTCAAGCTTATTTAAGATTATATGCAAGGCATGATTCCAATTCTTTTATTATATCAGTTATCACTTTTGAAGTAAGTAAGAGTCATGATGGGGATGTGAAAAGCTCTTCATTGAGAAAATGGTGAAATGACATCTGTTGTAATGGGATTGTGTGTGTCAAGAATTTGTGAAAGTAGAAGTTCTAAATGCAAGGATAGGATAAACATTGTTCTGGGACTAAATGATATCTAAAATTATTAATGAGGGCCCTCCCTAGTAAACATCGGGTTAAAGCACAGCACTATGAAGCTAGCCTGGGCCACTTGGATGAGTTCAATCCCTGCCCCAGAGGTGACCCACATGATGCCACAGCAGACCTCTCCCGTCTCACCCACTGCTCCCCTCAGCAGTGTTTTTCACCAATCTGCCTGCTCTGTCTCTGGTGAGTCCTCTTACCACCCCTGCACCTCTGGCCTGCATCCCAGTTCTGTGTGCATAAACAAATAAATCTTTAAAAATAAATAAAAGTACAAAGTAAAATAATGAATGAGTCAACAGCTAAGGGAATTATATGAGCTACTGTCAGATTTTTGATTTCATTGATTTGTTGCCTAAGAATTATTTTAGTATAAAAATTATATTCTTTCGTAAATATGATAAATGATATTAGCTATTTGGTACAAATTGTTGGGGCTTGGGGGGAAGGGGAGTTGTGTATTGGTTTCTCTCTAGAATTATGCCACTGAGTTGTCTTATTCCTCTCATTAATCAATGTACTTATAAAATGTAAAAACATAAAATGTGCCTATTTATGTAATTCCGTGTAACTGTGTATAATTCATTGATCTTAAACGTATACTCACATTTAATATTTTGAGAAAATAGTAGTTTAAAGCCACCATAGGAATCTATAGATTTTTCTCCAGTTCCACTTTTGATGAGC